TCACGATATAGATCCGACCGCCTTTTCCGCCCAGCGTACCACGTCCGAAACCGATTGAGCAGTCCGCGAGGTGCTGGCGGTTGTTGATCCAGTTGGGGTCGCACCGCCAGCAGTCATCGATGGGGTTACCGGTGAGACATTGGTCGTTTTGGGTCAGAGACAGGGTTTGTCTTCTTGATAGTGACACATTCAGCCTCCTGCAAGTAAGAAAGATTTTTTCAGATTCTTTTTTTGATTGAAAAATGTGTGAATAATAAAACTGAAAATGGGAAATGCACAGTTGATTTTTTTTCTTTTTCCTTTGTAGACTTTTGGCAAATGCAATGTGCTGGGAGAAATGTTGATTCTGAAAAGGGAAAAATAGAGTGCTCTGTTTGGCTACTGAGAAAAAATGGGCTACCTGGGAAAATGTTGCTAAATTTTCATTCAAAATCCTTGAAAATGAGATGGACCCAAATGCTGAAACCTCGAAATGTGCAAAACCCAGATGCCAGATGAATTAAGCTTGCAACAGCAGTAAAAGGAACCAATTTCGGTGATAAAACCCCAGATTGGACAAGACCAAGATGCTATTTTTCAGTGGCTCAGAGCCAAAATATGGGGAAGCAAGATAAACCCAGAATGTAAAACCTTTTTGGAGCTTTTAAAGTTAGCAGGTCTTACCTTTGGACATCTAGAGCAACAGCCTCAGGGTCTGGGTGTTGGTGTAGGAGGGTGAGGTTTGAGGCTGCATTGATCAGGGGAAAGGCAGAGCTGGAGAAGAAGAGACATATTAAGAGAATGCAGGTGTTAAGAAGCATCCTTGAAGGAACAATAATAGTGGTGGGGATGGGGTATTTGTTTTCGGTTTGTTTCTCTTTTTGCCTTCTGCAAAAGACCCTCCTTTGTCCCTTGGGATGTCTTTCCTGCTCAGCTCTTCAATGCACACGGGGATGCTGCAAATTTTGGGGAAATAGAAGTGGTTTATACACTAAAACAAGATTAAAAATGACACACATTGTAAAATGGGAAATGGGTGGGTTTATCCGTTGATGAAGAAAGAGGGAGGTGGGTAACGGTGGCTGTGATATGAACACTTCTGCCGGAGGAGGAGAAAGAGGGAGAATGGACCTCCCCCTACTCGTTCTCCCTAGGCAGCCTCATTCAGCCACTCAAATTCCTACCTTGCTTCCTAATTATTCTAAAAATCCATTCTGAGGAGGTTAATCTGGATAGAAAAATGCTAGAGCCGTTCTCTTTTCCTTTTCTTCTCTCTGAAAAAAGGTTTTCCTTTTGGATCAAAGATTCTTTTACAGCATAAGTAGGGTTACGGTGTAAGAATTCTGAGGGCTTTTCTTTTCTTCCGGGCCAGAGAACAGCCCCACGAAAGGGAATAAACAGTAGTGCAAAACTTTTGAACTTCGGTGAAGAGGATAGAAGTTTGTGTACTTTTAATCAAAGATTTAAAGCCTGCAGCTTTCTGTAAAACTTCATTTATTTGTAAAAATGGCGGCCTCGCTTCACCTCATCGAAATTTCTTGTTCCAAGGGAAACAAGAAGAAAGAAAAAAAACATTAATTCCTTTTCCTTTCAAGTTTAACTAAAATTTCATTCTAAAAAGTTATGGAAGAAAAAAAAAATGCATACCTTCATTAACATTGGGGCCACATGTTCTTCAACTCACGGCTGGACAAGACCTGTATATTTATAGCTGGGGTTAGGTAACGAAGGGAGGCCTAGCTCATAGATACCATAGTTGTATTCATACGTAAATAAATATTGTTTTATGAATTATATTTAAAATTTAAACACTTAGAAGAACACTCCTAAAAAAAATTGGTAATTATAGTTAGGGTTTTTGAAGGTGATGTATTATTCACACAAAATTTCACAATATATACAGAGTCTCTGCAATTAGAATCTCAATATAGAAGGAAACTGAATATATAAATTTGATACAATATTAATGATCGAATTTATTTAGTAAATTTAGGACTAAGATTTGATTTGTTTTAAGATACTTTCCTTAATAACGTATTTGATATGGAGGTGAAACCTTTGAAATTGCGCTAGGAGAGGTCGAGATGAGCAACAGCTGCCTCGAAGACATTTGGGGCTCTAGAAAAATACTATTAAAAGTTCTCATTTGCTGACAAGCCTGGTCGGACAAAAAACCTAGTAATACTTAGTGCCACTCGAGTTATGAAAAAGAAGAAAATAAAAGTTCCGTACAAAACTGGTGTTCTGCTCGATAACTGTAGCAGACTAGTAGTAGTCTTCAATTAAAAACTGGCTATCTATGGCGGTGCCCACGTAATTTGAATTATGATGACAAGATAAGGGATAATTATT